AATGCTGGTAAATCGACTTGGCTCCAGTTCTGGTGAACGGTCTAGCCACATTGGGTTTTTTTGGGGGGGGGTTCCATGTGTAATGTGGATAGGAACCATGTTCCCTTAGAAAGTCAACCACGAAGGCATCTCTCTTCTTCAGCTGATAGCCTAGCATGTTTTGACATAATCACATAAAATCAAATCTATTAAAGTATTAGGAGAAAACTAAAACAAGAAATATTCAAGTTGGTGTATGCTCAGAATTTCATCGATATTTCTAGATTCATTTCTTTTGTATAATATTAATGAAAGACTATAAAAAGTGAGCAACAATGATCCTCTGGCAGAGGCGAAACCCCCCTTGTGGATAATAAGAAGCACTGTATGGTTGTTTTATCTTTCATTATTGTGTTCTTGGGGACCCATAAGCTATGCCATGCTTTGTGTAAACATGAATTTTTAATTTTTATTGAGAACTTTTAGAGAGAATACAAAATTACGTTAACATTAGAAGCACCACAGCAGTCATTTTGACTGCTTTCATCATTTCACCTTGGATTCCTAAAAAACTCTTAACTTTAAAAAGTAACATATTTTTGGATTTTTCTAAAAAACCTTGAAAATTATTGGTAATAAGTAAGAATCTAATAAAATTTAAATTAACGAAGATATTATTAGTTACACCTAAAAACGCCACGAGCAGTCATATTGACTACTAGTAATACTGGGTAAATTTATCTTGTTATTTCACTCAGAAAACCTTTTTTCTTTGAATAACATCTTGCACACACATTTCTTTCATTCACTGATTATTTACAACAGGACATACTTCCCTTCAGCTCAGAAACCATCTTTCTTCGTGGACTGTGACATCTACTTCACAATAAGCTGGGCAATATAGAGCTCAAAATGTGCTAAAAGAATTGCCGAGCCCAGCATTTTATGTAGAAAGAAATTTTGGGGATAATGTGTCAAATGCTTGGAGGCTGTTCGTGGATGAATCAATGTTACACCGTATTAAAAGGTGCACGGAAGCACAGAAGCAGAGATAGTTTTGAACAATAAAGAAATTGGGACAATATCTTTAAAAGCTTCCTGCTTTTGTTGCTATTATTTATGCAAAAGGAGCATATGGTTACAATAATATGGATTGTGATTTTTTTGTAAAATAAGACACTGATCCTCCTTTTTTTCAAGAAACAATGTTTTGCAATCGTTTTCGAGATATTGAACTGTGGACAATTATTTTCCCTCACTATCATTAGCTACAATACTTAAAATGAAAAACACAAGTTTTGTGGGCACAGTAAGAAGACATCGAAAAAATATTCCATATGAAGTAAGGAAATCAAAAACCCAGATATTTGAAACAGTTTGCTAAAGAATGGTCAATGCTAAAGAATGGTCAAACTACACTAACAGTCTATCAGAGAAGAAGAAATAAAAAAGGTCCTACTACTAAGTACCTCACATCCGAGTGTCAATTCAGACTCGCAAAATAAGAAACTTAAAGAAACAGTAGTGTTCTACAACAAAACCAAATGTGCAGAGTATTCTTGACCAGATGATGCGAAAATATTCTATTCAGACTGCTTCACGCATATAGATTGTGCACGTTTTCTAAAATATGCTGTATTTAGCAGGAATGAATGCCTATTTTATCTACCTTAAATTCAGTGATAAAATAAAAATAAATAAATAAATAAATAAAAAGGCACAGCCTCCTATTTCAATTAGCAGAGGAATTAAGAGGGCTTCATTTAAAAAGAAGAAAAAACACAGGATTGCCATAGGAAATTTCCAAATCTAGTAATAAAAGTTGTGTAAAAATTACGAAAAGCTACAATACGTACTTTAGGGGTAAGTTGAAATTTATAATAAAATATCTACTTTTTATAAAAATAATTTGTTGTTCTTTAAAGTAGGTCTTAATTATAATTAATATTCTTAAAAGCATTATAAAGCATTTGCATTTTAATATATACATTTAATTCGCTGAGCAGTCAATTTGACTGGCATTGGCACTTCTAGGTAGGGAGAAAGCTCGCCGCTTCTAGTGTTAATGCAACAAAGATAGGTAGGTGAAGTCATAAAATTCAAATATTTTATAATTATACATCTCTAATACACATTTTAAATTAAGACAGGCAACTAACTGACCAATTTAAAAAAATCTTAACTTTGTACTGATTTTAATATTTTATTATGTTACTTATTACAACAGTGTCTTTAAAAACCTGCATGATACTTAATGTAAGAATCAAGCTTGGTAATGCTTGGCAAACAGTTTTGATTTTAGCTCAACTACTCCACTAAAATAACCAGCTTTTGATTTTGTTTAAAGGTATGCAAAAAGCAGTTTTTGACAGTATGACATGTAAATAAACATTTTTACTTTCAAATTATTCTATATCAATTTAATGTTGAAATTTTTAGTCATTACTAAAGTACAAGCAATAAATTAACACAAAATTATGAAATAAAAAAATAACTGAATGTCATTCAAAGAATGAAGAAATTGCTTTGAATATTAACAGTGGAGCAGTCCACTGTGTGAACCATTATTTAATAAGAGCTAGTCATAGGGATCAATGAAGCATGTAATTGTGAATTTCCTACAAAATTAAATTGAAGGGGAAAAACTGTTTCCACTTGAGATGATGTATTCAAAGAAATCCCCACAAGATTTCAATGGCTACATGTCCTTGTTATACCTTTTTTATTCTGCTGAAACTTTTGAATGAAAATCATAAGTACCAACTATATTTTGATATTGGTGACATTAATAACAAAGAACTCCTTGTTAAGATAGATGCTATTTTAAGGGTTTTATTTCTGTTGTTCCTCAGAAAATGATACAGGAAAGTGGAAGGGCAGTCCTTTTGAATTTTTGCAATTTGTTCTAAAATACAAAACAAAGTTTTTAATATTGTAATACTACAATAAACTTTTCTCACAACTGCTGTTAAGTGCTACTGGTTGTGTTTTCTAAATAAAAATTATTTAGAATTATAAATGTTTATTTTGCATTTAGAAAGTCTTTAAAAACTAAAAAAAATTAATCTGCATTTAAGAAATTTGTACTGTATACATAGCAACTGGGCAATCAAGTAGCCCTTTATGGCATCATCGATAGTTTTGCAAACAAAAAAACAAGCAAAATAATAATTTTAAAATGTTAGAATTAAAAATTTTTCATCAATAATAAGCAGATAGTTTTAATTTATTTCTCTATAAGTTATTTTCACATATTTTTAGTCATTTGTATATCAAGACAGGTTGCAAATTCAGAGACTGCCTCAAATCAGAGATCACCCCTGGCTGCAAAAGTTCTAGCTGTGTCACCGAATATTCCATTAAAAAAAAATTGGCTGTAATAACAAAGGGTCGACAAGCATTTTACTTCAAACTTAAGTAAAAATTAACATTGTCAATTTGTCATCAAATACATCAGGCAAACTGAAATATAATTCTTCAAGAAGCCACTATGAAAAACGGTTAGGGCACATTTTCATGGCAACAGGCAGCCTCAGACTATCTAGCAAGATTTGTTCTCCTAGTAGACAGACTATTGCTTGTGGATCAACAAGAAAAAATGTAGAGGAGGACATATTCCTTGAGCAAACACATTATATTATCATCATATGGTGGATAAATTTGTAAACTTAGAAGTTTGTTACTTATTGCCCTAATATATGCTCATTCCACATACAGTACAAAATCTTTAATCTGGACTCGTCGTGACTTTGGCGATTCCGGATTAGGGGTTTTTCTGGATTATAGATCATCAATTTAAATCAGGTAAGATGGCATGCAGAAATTATACAATTAAAAATATGAAACCGTATTTTACGAAATAAAGAGCACTTATGATCTAAAGGGTATCAAAATTTACAAAAAAAAAAAAAAAAAAAAAAAAAAGCTTAATATTTATTTGTTTATTTTATTAAACATTTCTTTCAATGTAAGTTGTTTAAGTTGCTTAGTTTTATGTGCTAATACTTTCTCTTTAATTCTATAAACAGACATAATTTCTTATTCAGTTACAAAGTTCCGCTGTTCAAGTCCTGTAATTGCTGTACCGAGAATACCGACTAACTTGTCAATCGAAATTTTTTCATTTGCACTAACCTCTCTGTCACTTTCTTCCTGCCTTTACACATTTTTTTGCAGCAATTCCACTTTTTGTTTGATGGACATTGAAACATACTTTTGCTTTGTAGATCCTTTGACAGCTCTAGAATCGGAAACTCTTTTCGACACAATCAAAAGTTCAAGCTTACTTTTTTTAAAAATGCTCTAACAGTATGCAAAAAATAATAAGCCAGATCCAATTAGAAGATTAAGAAACAACGCAATCTGCAATATTAACTAAAATAGATAATTAGATAATTTTAGCCTAGCTTATACCGTCCATTATACATTAAACGTCCATGCATAAACGTATTATGCGCATGCATAAAAGTATTATGCGCTTGCGTAAACGTTATGCATATGCAGAAAGTTTGTAGCTTTGAGGTCCGGATTATAGTTCATTCTGGATTATAGACGTCTAGATTAAAGACTTTGTACTGTATTACATTATTCAACTTCATCAAAAATAAAGTTGACTCAATGCCAGTTTATCAGATTACTTATTATTTTAGAGTATTCAAGATCTTTCTGCCTTGGACAAATACATCATCATGGATGACTTTCGAATGAGAGCTGGCTCATGTTCACATTATACAAGAAAAAAAAAAAAAAAAAAAAAACTATGAAAGCCTCATAAAACTAATGAGGTACTAAGAAACTGGCTAAAATGACAGATGTGAAACTTTGCATAAATGGCACCCAAAGATATCAGCCCAATCCTTAGGATGGAAAACTACATTCCCATATTACAAATGTTTCAAAATGACAAAAGTTTCAGGAAAAATTTACTGCATCTTATTAATGGTATACCTCTCATGCATAACATAAATTTATGTATATAAGCCTTAGCCTCCTTTTAAGGATAATACTGATGACTAAATTACCTGAAAAGGCTTATCATCACATTCTTCCATTGCTAATCTTCCATATTCAGTGAATAACTAAATTAAAAAAAAAAAAAAAATTACATAACATAAAGATACTATTATGACAGGAAAAGCATTACATAATTTTGTTAATTTGTGAAATTGAAAGAATCTGTAATGAACTTCTCATTTAAACAGTACAAAATGCTTCTAAAAAAGTAATTTTTCATGCAAATACAAATTTATGACAGGAATCTAATATTCATTTTATTTGAATTTAGAACATTTATTACCTTTTGAAAGTTTGAGTTTCATTGCTACTCTGTGCAAGAATGAAAATTTTTTCACGTAACAAAGCAGTTCATTAACAGATTTTTTTTTAATATTCAAATTATTCACTATGATATTCAACGTAGCATTATTAATAATATAATTTTAACAGCAAAAAAGATATTTGTCGGTTTTACTGGTAATCAAATTTTCAAGGAAAAAAATATTACTAAGTTTAGACTCGATGGAAGGAAGAATAAAGAAATTTTAGTGAAAATGTTTAAAAAATATTATCAAAGAATATAAATTTCTATTTAAAGAGAAGTTTGATTCATGCACATTTTCACAGATTCAGGAGGAGGATAAAATAACTCTTCCTTAGAAGAAAAGATTCATTTACCCTTGGAGGGCAAATTGAAAGTTATCATATTGAATCCGGGTGGGATGAGGGGGGAATAAAAATAAATAAATAAATTACAAATGAAAGCAACAATTTTACATTTCTCATTACTTCGATTTAGTCCCGAGTTTGCAATGTCATTTGGTGATTAATCATTGCTCACCATTAAAATTTTTAGCTTCACCAATATCCTTCCCTCCCCCCCTCATGATACTGGGCTTCATTTGTAAAATACAGAAAACTTAAATCACAATAAAAGACAGAACTCCAAATAATATTAAATACTGCAACCCCTTTTCTTGGATACTTTCTGATTATCTGTACCCATATCGAAAATTTACTCATTGTTAACTTTCAAGAGATATGTTTATTGGATACCTTTATGTCTATTTTAATGATGCATCTAGTAGTGCCAATTTTTTATTCTTTTTCGGTACAAAACATGCTTGTTTTTGGCCCTTTTATTATCTCCACGTAGACATCAATCTATTTTTGTAAAAAAAAAAAAAAAAAAAAAAAGAAGAGAGAGAGAGAATTGCATAAACTTGGCACCAAAAATCCTAAAAAAGAAGGAAAAGCCTCCACCAAAGATGGTGCAAAATGTAGCATGTGATCTGCTTAGCAAAAATATGGAAATTCCTATAGAAGAAATGATAATCTGCAGTCACACTGGCAAAAATATCCACAGAAGTGGAAAGTCATTTGGGGGGGGGGTATATGCACATAGCAAAACTGGATTCCCACATAAATACTTTTTGGTAACACTGCAGATTGCAACATAATTCCCTTTTTGGTGACATGACATCAAAACTTTTTTGCAGCTTTTCGGTATAGATAGGAATAATTTAAAAGTACTTTTTTTTTAACCTTTAAGAAGATAAAAAAAAAAACATACAATCTGATGTTTGAGATTATAACATCGGAAAATGATTTTAATAAACTATTTTTATCTTTGTATCTCAGTTTTTTATTCTGTCATATAATTTTGTACAGTTCACTAAAGAAAGGCACGATAAATGTACTTAATTTTTCATAGGTAGCATTAATAATGTTTTTTCTCCAAGTCATAAATATTATATCAAGGGTCACAGTTTTTTTTTTTTTTATTTCCTTTTTTTAAAAACGTTCACACAGAAATACGCACAAAACAAATAACACATTGAAATCAATGATGAGAAATGCAAAAGCTTTAAAATACTATTGCAAAATTTTTACATGGCTTAAGAAGTCATTGTTGAATCAGTAAGCATTTCAGCATAAAAAACTGAGAGTCCATTTAATAACCACTAACTCTTATCAGAATTACAAAAAAAAAAAAAAAAAAAAAATAGCACAGAAGCCATAAGTTAACTAACTCTGCCCAATGGCTAACATAAAAAAACTAGCTAAATTGTCAGATACTTCAATGATAAGTACATATTGTTTTTATAGGATTCTTTCTATTTAGGTTGTACAGAAGTGAATGACACAAATGCTGCCACAGAATGGAATTAACAAAAAACTGATAGTACATCAGAAATAATCCCCACCCATGTCAATACACTTCTGCCATCTGGCTGGGAGGTTCTGAAGGGCTTTGGTATAAACCAGTCTGTGGAGGTGATGGTCCACTAATTATGGACAATTGCATGCAATTCGGCAGAAGGTTCAACATGTTGGCCTCTGTGTCCTTCATCTTGTCAAGCAAGGCATAGACTGAGGTCTTAGTTTGAGGTCTGAGGTCCACCCACTTTGCACACACATTTGTCATCTTCAAATCCCCATGCACAATCTCCTGCAATGTTCCTTGCGCAAGCTCCGTCTCTTCCTGCATCTTGTTAAACGTTATGCGCCTGTTTGCCATCATCAAATCTGACACTGCTGCCACATTTGCTGCTGTATGCAATATTGCTGGTCATCTCTCGCTGACACCTTTGGCTTTGGTCTCCACTACACTGTGAACTTGACCACCCAACGGGATATGGTACGCCTTGAGGGTACTTTGTTCCCGCACACCGAAATCATGTGATGATGGATCTCACTACACTGTATCCCTTCCTTCCATAGGAACCACGCTGTCCAATGCTGACCATGATAATCACCTTCCATAACTGCTGTCCCTGCTCTCAATGACGACAGTGAAAGGGACGGGCGCTGACTTATACCATTCGCTTGCAGCCAGCTCCATCTATGCATCCTGAATAATGCATGCTCCCTTGTGTCTATTTCACTTCATAATGTAACAGTTGTATTGTGAGAGCCATTGTGTCAATCATTTCTGTACGATCCAAGTATTACACACTGATAAGTCATCAGCAATAATAATTTCAAATACAGATGAAAGACCAATATACTATGTAAGTTTGTAGCAGGTTTGTCTTTGATGAGATAGGGTGGAAAAAGAAATCACTTAAATTTCAAAACAGAAATTTAGGAACTTCAGACAAGATCACACAGTCAAAAAAAAAAAAAAAAAAAAAAAAAAAAAAAAAGAGGCAGGTAAAGAAATTTTGAATCAGTAATATTTTTCTCTACATAAGATAAAATTCATCTTCTAAAAATTATTTTTTACAAATTTAAATTGTGTTATTCTATCACTATATCAGATGTAATTTCTTTTATGATATGTTTTGCATATCATCAAAGACATTTTTAATATTTTTTAAAGTTAATACAAAATTTGAGAACACTATTTTTCATATTTATAAAAGTATATAATAGTCTATTTGCAATTACTGATATTACAAATCGAAATTAAATTTATGTAAATTTTAGCTATGGTAAAGCCGTAAAACATTTGTACATTATAAAACTGTCTAGGAATCTGCATTTTAACCATATACACAAAATTATGTACTACACAGCAAATTTTTTAGTTTATATATATCTCCAAATTATCCATGCTAATTAATGTAGGAGCATGTATGGGTGTCCAGAAAATGCAGACAATTCAAAACAGGCCATGTTACAATTCAATTAATGGACATGTTATGTTTAAAAAAAAAATGAATTCTTCTGACATACAGTGTAAGTTTACAACAGAGTTAAAATTATTAAATTAATTAAAATCATATACACAGATTTGTTTCCGTGATCCCTTGGGGGAATTATATTTTTTCTTCTGAGAGCCAAAATTATATTCTTTGAGAAAAATGGCAATAGATTGCTGTATTCAAACCCCTTAAATGATAAAATCTTAGTCCATATTGTTCTCAACTTTTCTTATCTACACTTTTGTGCTTTCTTTCCATTTATAAAATGCATGAATGGCAAAAATAATATGAACACAGGCTTGATGTTATTACCCAGGGCCAGCTTCAAATACAGGCAACAGAAGCAGCAGTTAGGAAACTAATTACATAGGGAACAGCAATTGTGTTGTCTTAGATCTATCACTTCTTTTTGACCAACTTCTGGCATCTGAATCTAAAAATAGTCTGTTTTTGTCTATCATGTCAACTTTTTTAACTACAGGAGACCCTTTCTTTGTTCTAACAGAAGTCATATGAAATATTCACATAAAGGAAAATAAAGGGAAAACTTACCAAATCTAGTGTTGACAAAGAATAGTTTTATTCATATAAAAGCTATATATAGTTAGTTCTGCAATTTAAATTTTCTTCATTCAAATAGTAAAGTTTTTTAACCAAATGGTAAACATACATGTTAAGGTAAAAATTTTTGCTTATGGCTCTTTTGGAATATTTTTTAGGGGGAAAGGACATTTTTGCTTGATACTCTTAACAATAGTCAGCCATCATATGTACACTCTGCACAAGAAAATAAAAAGGGGGTACAATTCTATATCCCCCATTCCACTGAGCTGAATGATAAAATTTAAACCTCTGTTTTTCATGTCTCAAAAGCACGATTTAGGATATTAGACATATATATAGCTAGCATGTATATTTTGACATAAAACTGGATGTTTTCCAAATTGACATACCGATTTTTTTTACCATGTTGTGATTCCAAGACTCTAATTATGCCTAAATATTAAATTTTGTAAAATGTGATGAGAAATTTAAAAATTTAAGTAGGTGCACTTTTTTCAGTTTGTGGCAAGAACAATTCTCATGGAACTCTTAAAAAAGGTGCATTGTGCATCCTTTCAAATAATTTTAACAAAGTGCATAAAGCACATATGGCATTATTATCACATAATAAATGTGCCCAATTTCAAAATGCACTAATATATAAATATAATCTTTGGAAATTCTGAATTTTTTTTTTTTTTTTTTTTTTTTTTTGTTGTTGTTTTTTGCAGGTATGCCTAAAAATACATCTTTAAGGTGATGGTAAAAATTTTATGGATTATAATTAAAAAAATTTTCCCATTATGTAAAATTCATAAAAAATACAAATTTTAAAAATATATCAGTAAATATCTGTGAATTTTATTTGAAGTGAACATAATTTTGAATTACGAAAGAAGGAATCTAGTAAGTTTAATACAAAAAGAGATATTAATAAATATATACCAAATTCAATTAACACAGAGAAGCTAAAATTTTGAGAGCTCATTTTAATAACTACTCATGCGATTTTTACAAAACTTAGCACTTTGGCACAATCTGAGTCATAGAATTGAAATATGGAAAAAAATTGGTATGTTATTTCAGAAAGATCTTATTTTGTGTCAGAATACCTATGTTATAACAAGGCTACATCTAAATCTAACGTATCCTAAGTCACACTTTTGAGACAGGAAAAATGAGAGTTAAATTTCGCCAATCAGACTAGTAGAACGGGAGATACAGAACTGTCCCCCCCTCTTTTGCAAGGTGTACATCTCATCTACCTTGGTACAATGCCTTCAAATTTTGGTGGAATCACTCACCCTGCTCATCACTGACTGCACTAAGATTTTTGCGGGAAGTTATAAAGAAGACTATGTAAAGAATGCAATTTTGTGCCTGTGTCGCACTAAAAAATTTTGAAGCTCTGCAAAAGCTGCTGGTCAATTTTGCTGTAATTCTGTCCTTGTGTATTTCCAAGAAATTTTTGACAATGTTTTTGAATGCCAACAAAGCATTCTTTTGAAGTTCCGTTATTATATCAATGAAATGTTCACGTTAAAGGAGCTGCCAAATCTGTGGACCATCAAACGTATCAGCCTTTATCTTTTCAAATGACAGGCTAGGAAATGCCGAAATGAAATATTTCAAACAACATCTTCAAGGGCAAAGATTTAAACAAATTGCTTTGCGACCCAGTTTTATATGCAGAGGTGGAAACATAATGTTCTTTCTGCTGACAACTGCTGATGTAGAATGTTTGGATTTTCAGGTCAGATCTTGGCCGCTAATTCAACTGCACTCAATGCTTCTCACAAAATTTGCTGT